CCAATGTCACAGATGATGGCGGTTGTTTGGACGACACTGGATCCACCGTAATTATGCGTCGTGGTCGGCAACAAACCAGTTTCTTACATTTCGGTGCGCTGATTACGAACGCGCATCCAAATAATGCGGTCATCGCACGTGGAAGACCTTCGGTAGTGCTGGGCCAGCGTGCTAATGAGTTATGTGTGCAGCATTTCACACAGACTACGTCGCTGTTCGTAAAAAGTTTGCCGTCCACGGACCTACGGATTTTTAAATGTTGGGGTTCCTTAGCTCCACCGACATGGATTCCATTGAGTGCAATCGGCTGCAAATGTCTGAGATTGCCGTGCGATGAGTACATTGTATTTTACCCCATCGTTCACAGCTGGCGGCACAAGGATATGAAGAAACATCCGACGTAGGTAAGCTGTCTTCATTTATTTATTTGCTTCAGTTAACAGTCCGTTTTATACTTTTAACCTGGGTGCGCAAAATCGTTGTACAACAGTAACGGCGTTGCGGGGTTACTGTTACGTTTTAAGCACCATGGAATACACTGCATATGCTGCTGCACCTGGTATCGCAAATAAAAGTTTCCCCACCGAACACATTTACCTCTTCTAATAAGCTCGTAGAAATGCTGTGCTCTGACCCCTTTTTTCAGATGTATCGCGTGGTCGAATTTCAAGATTCTTCCGTTGCGGTGGTTCTGTCATCCTGGATGATTAATAGTGAGGAAGTTCTGTGGGGACGGTTATCATCAAAACAGTTACAGGATTTCCTGATGCACCGTCTGCCACCACCTGCGTCCGCTGTGACGTACAAAGTACGAATACACAGTTGTACAGGTGAGGTCACAGAACGATTTATTTATACGCATTTTTAGATGATTACCTTGAGGCTAAAAATTTGGAACAGAGCTTGCTAACATCAGCCGAATTACCATCTAGCGACGCAACGATTCCAATGCTACGATGGGGGAAGCGAAAAATGTATGTTGTAGATAGATAGTATATTATCGCAGCACTGTAAAAACCTTTCCCGACTGTGAGTCCCCGCCAATCGCAACGCGGGGTACTGTTGAAGTCGTGAACTTGGATTTATCACCTCCACCACCGAAGCTGTATTTGGAGGAGGAATTAAACGACGGTTCCGATAAAGAAAATGGATACCTATCAGCCTATCCCCATACATCCAGGTAAACAATGCATTTGTTTTTACACTCGTAGTCCGATTCACCAAGACGTTGCTCAGCCTTTACCTGTTTGCGGAACATCCTGTGACAGCGCACTGCTGTTGGAAATGAATGGTTGGTTCACAGCGTCTCCGAAACATTTACTTGCAGCCACATTGCGGAACGTAAATCGCGAAGTGATGAAACTTCGCGAACGAATGACTGCTGTTGAGTTGTCCTTGAACGCGCTGCATGCACTTCAGGCGCCAAGTTCCAGCAACGCGTGTCCATTTCCATTACCAATGGATACAATAGCGCAACTGTCATTTTTAAATAATGCACTGGAGAACGCTGAGTTCATGAACAGCATGGTAAGTCTCATGGAATTTCACTTATTCGTAGGTGCACTATTTATCCAACGTAAGCGGCCGGACAACCTCAGAAAGTGTGCGGAACGTCATGCTTACTTGCATGACTAACAACTTGGTCAGACATGTGAACTGGCGTGGTGTGCATGAGAAGTATAAAATAGCGAACACACCATTCGCGAGAGCGGTCCTTGGTATGTTACCTTTTAAACAACATTAATATCTTCACCAGATTCCATTATGAGAAAAAACATACCAGGATGCACAGAGCCTGATATTGTTGATAAGTTACGACGCTGGATACAACGAATTAAAGAGCGTGAATCGTGGATACGAAAGGAAACAGAACGGTTAGCACTGGAAAATTCCGCTTTGTAAATTATGAGATCCATATTACACTATGTTTTCGCGAACTGTGTTGTGTTCATGGCATGCAATGTGTGCGACCGCATTAACGTGCTTGCAGTGGTATGGGAAGGGAGGATAATGCGGCTAGGCTTTACCCGTTACGGCTGGAAATCGTGGAAATGTGAGCGTGCGAAGGGAGGCGCCACGTTATTTTTTCTCCGCGAGCGCCCGATGAGTGACACAATTTTGTGCCACTCGGGCGCCCATCGGGCGCTCGATCGGTCACCCAACGGGCGCCCATCGGACATCCAACGGGCGTTCATCGGACACTGGTGCTGAGTGGGTCCTTCCCTACAACGTTTATTCTCTTGGATTGTTTGCATCACAGTTCAGCTGGTTTGTTGACCCATTCTGTGCCCCTGTAAGGTCCACTAGTAACTGAAGGCTTAATCCGAATTCTATTGCTGGCCATTCATTTAATCCTAGCCTGCTTCTAGTATGCTCAGCGTATCTTCATATACCCATGTTCATAATAGTCATTATGTGTCTTAGATAATCCTGATAGCGTGGAGTATATATAAATATGGCCACATCGTCACCGTATCTTTTGGTTTCCGATAACAACCAATCGGGACTACATACCCACCTTCTGGTCTCAGGTTGAATTCTAACGTCGTAAGCTAATACCTCGTGAATTTTTTTACCGGAACTCTGCTCTTCATCCTCATGTACATGAAAGTAATTTACCCATGGGGCAATGCCTTCTGCATAATCAAAATACATTTTCAACGTACTATCTGTTACACATTGTACACCAGTTGTCTCAAGTCTGTAGCAGTCTGGAGATTCCCCGGTTTGCTTGTGTAAAATTCTAACCAAAATTCTTTAATTGTACACTTAGGCAACCGGTGTGGTTTGTTGAACTGCTTGCTGAGTTCGAATGCTTTACTTGCTCATCGCCATTTTTGCTTGGCGCTCGCTTCGGTTGCAACGCGCGACTGCTCTGTGTGCTGTGCTTGATCTGTTCCCCTAGCTAGAGCGTCCACGGTGTCGTTCATTTATAGCTAGCTAACAGGGAATCTTTTGCTGAACCAATAAAAGTTTCCCTGCAACTCGATCCGTCTTCTGGAATCGCTCTCTGGGCTCCCGGAATAGGCAACCCTCTAAATTGGTGACCCCGAATCCGGATCAACCTCAGCGCCGGATATTTGGAACTTTTCTCTGGTGAGCTCGTTCCATTTATTTTTCATATTTTCCGGTTTATTTTTGCATACGATAGCCTATTTTTCGCGTCATTTTTTCAAATCATGGAATCTGTAGACCATAAGGTAGAGTCTATGCTTAGTGTTGTATCTCTCTCAGTTCCACCTTTTTGGGATATGGATCCTGTTTTGTGGTTCGCTCTTCTTGAGGCCGAGTTCTATAACCACAAAATCACTTCCGACTACGCGAAGTATTGCAAGCTCCTGTCCTATCTCCCCAAGGAGATATCAACGCAGGTTCGTGACGTCATCATTTCTCAGACCGAAAACCGCTATGAGGCTCTCAAAGAGGCCACGATTAAGCGTGTTATGCCCTCTGAGAAAGTTCGCCTTCAACAGCTTTTCAGAGATCTGCAGCTGGGCGACAAACTGCCCTCAACCCTGCTACGAGAGATGCAGCAACTCCTTGGTTCTTCAACCATGGATGAGACTTTACTTCGTGAACTATGGCTACAACGGCTACCGGAAAACACACAAGCGATTCTCGCTACAGTGAGCTCCGTTCCGCTCACTCAACTAGCAGATTTAGCGGATCGAGTTATTGAACGATCACAGCCACAGGCCAACTCCAGCAAGGTCCATGCCGTCGCGTCCCAGGGCACTTCTATCACTGGCTTACAGTCAACCATAGAAGCCCTGCAAACACAAGTTGCGACACTTAGTCGCCAGGTGCAACAGCTCACTATGAACCCTCGTCGTCATAGCCGCTCAAAATCGCCCTGCAAACGTTCTAAGTCTAGAAACAGGCAGGCTAGCTGTTGGTACCACCAGCGTTTTGGTACCGCAGCTCGTAAATGCGTCAAGCCTTGCAACTACGCCGAGCAGCAGGGAAACTGCTCGGCCGGTCGTAACGGCGACGGACGCGACCGGCCAACACCAAATGCGCCTCATCCGTGTTAGGGATTTAACTTCCGGCATCGAGTTTCTAGTCGACACTGGTGCCGAAGTTAGCGTCATACCCCGTAGCTCAGATGAGGTCGTCTCGCCATCGCCGACCAAGCTGCGTGCCGCCAATGGCACACCAATCGCAACTTTCGGCGAAAAGCTGTTAACGCTCAATTTAGGCCTCCGGCGAACCTTTCGCTGGCCTTTCATAATCGCTGCTGTGCCTTTCGCCATCATAGGCATAGACTTTCTTCAACGCTTCGACCTCATCGTCGACGCTAAACGGAAGAAGCTTATCGACTCTAGGACACAGCTCAGTGTTATCGGGACTAGCGCCAACGTGGCTGCTATCACTCCCATTCGTGTCCTACCTCAAGCTTCACAGTCTTTTCTAGAACTTTTCAGCAAGCACCCTAAACTCGTTCGCGTCCTGAACGAGTTGCCTCCGGTGACGTCAAACGTCACGCATCACATTTGCACTAAGGGCCCACCTGTTTCGGCCCGCCCTCGCCGACTAGCCCCGGACAAGCTCAAAGCTGCGAAGGCGGAATTCGAGCAAATGCTCGAACTGGGAATCATCCGCCCGTCTAAAAGTCCATGGGCATCACCATTACACATGGTGCCGAAGAAGTCCGGTGACTGGCGCCCCTGTGGTGACTACAGGGCACTTAACAAACTTACCGTCCCGGATAAATACCCTATCCCGCACATGCACGACTTGACCTCAGCTCTAGCTGGCAAGTCTATCTTCAGCAAAGTCGACTTAGTCCGTGCGTACCACCAGATACCTGTGGCGCCAGATGACATTGCTAAAACAGCAGTCATCACGCCATTTGGCTTATTCGAGTACCTCAGAATGCCTTTCGGCCTCAGCAACGCTGCTCAAACTTTTCAGCGTTTCATTCATGAGGTAACGCGAGGACTCGAAGGCGTTTATCCTTATCTAGATGACATACTCATCGCCAGCTCTTCTGATGAAGAACATCTTCATCACCTCGACGCTCTCTTCCAACGCTTGACGCAGCATGGGGTTACCGTCAACCCCGATAAATGCGAGCTTGGCCAAAGCTCCATCGACTTTCTTGGCCACCGCATATCTACCTCTGGTATCGAAGCCCTGCCAGACAAAATCCAGGCACTGAAGGACTATCCTGCTCCCAGTTCCTTCAAGCAGTTACGCCGATTCCTTGGCCTGGTTAACTATTATCGACGCTTTATTCCTAACTGCGCAAGCATTGTTCAACCAATGACTGACTTGCTCCGCGGTAAACAACGCTCTTTTCATTTTACAGACGACGCTAAATTGTCTTTCGAGAAGCTTAAAGACGCTATCTCCAACATAGCGCTTCTCGCCCATCCAGACACATCTGCGCCACTCTCCCTGACGACTGACGCATCCGACACTGCCGTCGGTGCAGTTCTTCAGCAACTCATCGACCATCGATGGATACCCCTAGGTTTCTTCTCAAAGCGCGTCCAACCTGCCGAATCGCGATACAGCACCTTCGGTAGGGAACTGTTAGCTATCTACCTAGGTATCCGACATTTCCGTCACTACCTCGAAGGTCGACATTTCACCGTCTTCACCGACCACAAGCCATTGATCTACGCAATCAATGGCGCAACAGACAAGTACTCGCCGCGGGAAACTAGACACCTAGACTACGTTTCTCAGTTTACGACAGACGTACGTCATGTCTCAGGTGCTCTCAATCCCGTCGCGGATGCGCTTTCACGCATTCAGCAGATCAGCTTATCGCCTGGCACCAACATTGATCTAGACGCTATGGCTGCTGCCCAACAAGCTGATCCCGACATCGACAAGCTACGACGCAATACCTCGTTAAAACTACGTGAAGTCCCACTAGCTTCATCTGAGGGGACCATACTTTGTGACGTGTCACAAACTTCTCCCCGACCCGTAGTTCCTACCTCAATGCGTCGACTAGTTTTCAATGCTTTACACAACCTGTCTCATCCCGGCATACGTGCTTCGCAGAAGCTCGTAACGGAACGCTTCATATGGCCCAACGTCAATCGCGATGTCCGCCTTTGGGCACGCGCATGCTTAGAGTGTCAGCGCGCCAAGGTCTACAGACACACCAAAAGCCCACTTGGCGTCTTTCCCGCTCCTGACGCTCGTTTTGCACACGTCCATGTCGATCTGGTCGGACCTTTGCCTCCATGCAAAGGCTACGTGTACCTACTCACCTGTGTCGACCGATTCACTCGTTGGCCAGAGGCGATTCCGTTAGTCAACTGCTCATCTGAGACAGTTGCGCAAGCTTTCTTAGAACGCTGGGTAGCTCAATTCGGTTGCCCAAGCGTAGTCATCACTGACAGAGGATCACACTTTGACGGATCCTTCAGCAAATTGCTCAACGTTCTTGGTTGCCAACATAACCGAACCACCGCATACCATCCCGCAGCTAATGGGATGGTAGAAAGGTTCCACCGGCAACTCAAAGCCTCACTCTGTGCCCAATCTAGCACATCCTGGCACGAAGCACTTCCGCTCGTTCTCTTAGGCATAAGAAACACGATTAAAGCGGATTTGCAAGCCACTCCATCGTCGCTAGTCTTTGGATGCGCACAACGCTTACCTGGTGAACTCGTCTCACCAAAAGCGCCAACAACTTTCGACTATGGCGACTACGCAGCTCGCCTATCTCATCACATGCGACAGCTTCAGCCTGTGCAACCCAGAGCACAGAGCTTGCGTACAAACGTGGACGAACGGTTAACTACTTGCACGCACGTGTTCGTTCGCACTGACAGCGTACGCCGACCACTTCAGCCTCCTTACTCTGGTCCGTACCGTGTCGTACGTAGAAGCGACAAAACGTTTACCATTGACTACAATGGTAAGACTGAGACGGTCAACGTCGATCGACTCAAGCCAGCATTCTTCGACAAGT